CTTGAAGAGCTTGCTCCAGCTTCACAAGAATTCACAGGTTTCACCAGAGTGAGACTTGTGAAGCAACGAAAGTGCAAAATGCCCCCCGCCGGCAAACTGCGCCCCGATAGGTTGTTCACTGCCCACGCAACCTACTATCCTTTGTGATTTTCTACTACAACATACTGTAAAACGCAGCTGAAGAAGAGATTCATCCATAGTGAAGGCACAGGAATCGTGACGCCAGCGACTTCAAATGGAGCGCTCTAGAAAGAAGTCGATGGTCGAAGTAATTCATGGACCTCGGCATAATCCTTAATTAAAACTAAACTACCTTATTGAACTTCATCGCAGCAGCCATAATATCTGCTCCCATCAATGAGAATAGCGGCAACGATATTGCGTGCTGAAAAAGGTAAACCAATTCCGAATAATTTTCAAAAAAATGGAATACGAATCGATAATTGAGCACAACGCTGCAATGGTTGACTTGGGAATGAATATGCGGAACAGGAAATGATGGGGGGGGGGGGGCAATTGAAGCCCAGGTCCGCTATTTGTTAAGAGTTAGGAGCTCAACTTACGTGCTGATTACCGGAAAACATCAGCTGTACCATTGCCAGTACCATCTCAAGACGCGTCAACCTTATAACAGGTGACGCACTTGGACGGCCTGTGCTACATCAGCGCAAAACAGCGTTCTGGAGAGTGCACATTGCCCTTTCCGTCAAGGGGGGGGGGGGGAAGCGGATGAGGCAGGGTAGTATATGGCGTCAATAGAGATCCCCCAGTCGGCCAGCGTAACGCAGACAACTGATATCTGGCCGAAGATGCCCCGCAGTAGAACTTTTGTAAACTTTAGAAAAAGGGTAGGTATTTTGGTGATCGTAGGGTTTAGCTGTGAAAGAGCTTAAAGGACTTTATTAAGATCCTCCTTTGGAAGAGGGATCCAACTGACACCAATATTTTCTTATCCTCATAATGTTCCCGATTTGTGGAGCTACCCGCTCATACCAGTGATGTCCCTAAGCAACTGGGTTCTCTTCAGCAGGTTTAGATTGGTCTCTAGCCTCATCCGTGATGTCGCTATGCATAAGTTTTGCAGAGCAACCTCTCCAGCCTCTGGGTATGTGGCAAGAGAATCGTAATTTGCCGCGCCAGTGGGCGTCGCGTGCGACGTCGCGCCTGCTAATGACGACGATTTCAGGTGGTATTGGTCGAGAATAGACAATGTATGGCCAAAAATAGACATAAGTGTCAACCACATCCTGTTTACATAAAATCCTATGCTCCAATTGAAAGGGTAGCGCAAATTCAAGGAAACGTCGCGCCCATTGCCGCGCGCGACGAAGCGGCAGTTTGCGATTCTCTTGCCCGTCTCCCGAGCCTCTACCGGTTTCCCGAGTGCCGGTTTAACCGGTTTCCCGAGTGCGGTTGCTCGCTTGGATAGTGTACCAAGTTCAGGGTGCGTTCATACTTTGCGTCAGCGTTTCAAGCCTTTTGCGCGGCTAGGAGCGCCGCAGAGGCAACAACTTCGTTGATTATGACCGCTACGGTGCCATTAGGGTATGTAGCCAGTACCGCAAATCCCGGTTGTGGGAATCACAATAACGGAGTTCTCTGAGAAAAGCCTTTCGGCTGCCGATTTTTCCCAGAACGCGTGTACTTTCTGTGCGCCCCGCGCCGGGCGACAAAGTTCTAGCAGTATGAAGAATGTAGTAAGAATTCGATGAAACAGTAGGTAGCTTGTGGTTGTGCTCGCACAAAACAAGAAAAATAAGTAGGAGGGGAGTTGTACTTTGCAAAATTTTCCGCAACGCGATCATGAGCCCT